TTTGCTATAGGGCACGTGTGCTCGCCAGACAGACAGAGAGAGACAGACAAAGTGAGAAATCACTCCCCAGGGGGGATGGCCACGCCTCAATTCTCTTCTCTCGGGACCTTGGGCACGTGCACACACGGGCCCAGCGTGAGTTTTAAGCCACCAGGTCCGGGATGCGAACAGTGGTTGACTACGTGGGAGTCCAGCAACATAGCCATTACGCCAACTGCTGATCCCAATAAATAATTCATTGAAGAAAAAGAATTATTTAACTTTATATTTTATAATTTGATCAGAGAGGGACAGAGTGAGTGAAAGAGGGAAAGTGAGAAAACAAGCCTTAAACATCATGTCACCTGCTGGCCCCTAAATAGTAAGTCTTTTAAAAATTTTTCCCAAGAATGAATTAGTGTGAAATGTAATTTGTATAGGGAAAATCTCGCTCATAGTGATAATGATTATGTTCTTTATTCAACTTAAATAGTACACTAGTGCCTTCAAAAACCACTCTGTGAGAGTTCATTTCTCTTAAGTATTGCACAGTGACTCAATATCTTTGTGGAGAATAGTCACCTTTCTCTTATGAAGATTTTTGTTTGTTTGTTTGTTTTGGGTGTTTTGTTTTTGTTTTTGGAGATATTTTTGCTATAAGGTGCATGCACTCACCAGAAACACAGAGACAAAAAGCAAGAAACTGTCCCCTGCCCCCCCCCCACCAAAAATAGCCACAATGCAATCCCTTCTCTGTTCTCTCAGGGGTGGAAGGAGAGAAGTAGCATTGGTGGGGATCTTCGAGGAGAAGGGCCTGGAGGTGGACCTGGGGGAGGGCCAGGAGGCTAGCATGGTTGGGATGCTGGACATCAAAAGTTAAAGATCCTCAGAGCCCTGGCATTCCAGGTGGTCTCAGGAACTGAAGATCTCCTGGTTGAGGAGAGAAATCATATGAGTGTAAGGTATGTAGGAATGACTTTAGTTGTCTCAGTTCTGTTCAAAACCATCAAAAAACTCACACTGAAAAGAAACCATATGAATGTCCCCAATGTGGGAAAGCCTGTCGTTGTCCCAGACCTCGGGGGAAACACAAGAAAATTCACACCAGAGTGAAACCCTATGAACGTAAGAAATGTGGGAAAGCCTTAAGTTATTCCAGTTCTCTTCAAAGACATGAAAGAATTCACACTGAAATAATTCACACTCAAGTAAAACCCTATGAATATAAGGAATGTGGGAAAATCTTAAGTTGTTCCAGTTCTCTTCGAAGACATGAAAGAATTCACACTTCAGGAAAATCCTATGAATGTAAGGAATATGGGAATGCCTTTAGTTCTTCCAGTTCTCTTAAAAAACATGAAAGAATTCACACTGGAGTGAAACCCTATGAATGTAAGGTATGCGAAGAAGCCTTTAGTTGTCTCAGTTCTGTTCGAAACCATGAAAAAATTCACACTGAAAAGAAACCAAATGAATGTCCCCAATGTGGGCAAGCTTTTAGTTTTTGCAGTTCTCTTCGAAAACATAAAAAAATTCACAGTGGAGTGAAACCCTATGAATGTAAGGAATGTGGGAAAGCCTTTAGTTGTTCCAGTTCTCTTCAAAAACATGAAAGAATTCACAGTGGAGTGAAACCCTATGAATGTAAGGTGTGTGGGAAAGCCTTTATTTGTTCCAGTTCTCTTCGAACCAACAAAAGAATTCACACTGGAGAAAACCCCTATGAATGTAAGAAATGTGGGAAAACCTTTAGTTTTTCCAGTACTCTTCAAACCTACAAAAGAATTCACACTGGAGGAAAAACCTTCTGAATGCAAGAAATGTGGGAAAGCCTTTACTTTTTCAAGTTCCTTGCCTATCCATGAGAGAACTCACACAGGTAAGAAACCCTATGAATGTAAGGAATGTGGGAAAACCTTTTGTTTTTCCAGTTCCTTGTATTACCATAAAGAACTCACACAGGATAAACCTTACGAATGTAAGCCTTGTGGGAAAGCATTTTCTTTTTCAAAGTTACTACAAAACCAAGAAAGAGTTCACACAGGAGAGAACCCCTATGAATGTAAGGAATGTAGGAAAGCCTTTATTTGTTCCAGTTCCTTTTTTTTTTTGGAAAGATTTTTGCTATAGGGCATGTGCACTCGCCAGAAAGACAGAGAGACAGAAAGTGAGAAATCACCCCCCCAGGGGGGATGGCCACGCCACAATCCCTTCTCCTCTCAGGATCTTGGGCACGCACGCACATGCACCCAGCATGAGTTTAAGCTGCCAAGTCTGGGACTCGAACCACGGTCGACTACATGGGAATCCAGCGACATAGCCATTATGCTAACTGCTGGTCCCTGTTCCAGTTCCTTTTGTATCCATAAAAGAACTCACACAGGAGAGAAACTGTATCAGTGAAAGCAGGGTGTAAAAGCCTTCTCTACCTCTTCGTTCTTAAGAAAACATGAAAGAACACACAGGAGACAAATGCTACCAATGTAACCAATATGGTAAAGCCTTCTTTCATTCTACGCTCTTTTGAAAACATGAAAGAACTCACACTGGAGAGAAGCCCTATGAACATAAGTGATGTGGGAAAGTCTTCTCTTATCTTGGTCACAGTCGAGATATTAAAAAAATACCACAGTGGACATGAGCCCTAGTAGTGTACAAAGTATGGAAAAGACTTCTCAGTAAAAGAATTTCAAAAAGACATTAAAATTTTTCAGGAACCAGCAGTTAGCGTAATGGCTATGTCACTGGACTCCCACGTAGTCAACTGCGGTTCGCGCCCCGGACCCAGTGGCTTAAAACTCACGTCGGGCGCGTGTGTGTGCGTGCCAAAGATCACGAGAGGAGAATGGAGGAGAAGGGTTTGCAGCGTGACCATCCCTCCTGGGGGGTGATTTCTCGTTTTCTGCCCCTCTGTCTCTCTCACTCTCTCTCTGTCTGGCGAGCGCACGCGCCCTATAGCAAATCTCCACAAAAAAAAAAAGACATTAAATTTTTTTTTCAACAGGAGAGAAACCCTAGGGATGTAAGCAGTGTGAGAAAGTCTTCTGGGGAACCAGCAGTTAGCGTAATGGCTATGTCACTGGATTCCCACGTAGTCGACCACGGTTCATGTCCCGGACCTGGTGGCTTAGAACTCACGCCGGGCACGTGTGCGTGCATGTCCAAGATCCCAAGAGGAGAATGGAGGAGAAGGGATCGCGGCGTGACCATCCCCCCTGGGGGGTGATTTCTCACTTTCTGTCTCTCTGTCTCTCTCTGTCTGTCTGGTGAGCGCACGCACCCTATAGCAAAAAAACTCTCAAAAAAAAAAAGTCTTCTGTACGTTCACAGACTTTCCAATAAATGGAAGAATTCGTACAGGAGAGAAATCCTGTAAGTGTAAGCAATGTGGTAAATCCTCCTCTCGAGTCCAGTTGTTTTTGAAAGCATAAAAGAACCCAGTGAGGAGAGACCTCATTGATTTAACTTTAATTTAATTTGACCAGATGTCAGCATCTGCCCCAGACTTAGCTTGCTCTAAGAGGAAGTAGAAAGAAAGAGACAAAGAGTAGCAATGGACACAGGAGGCCTGAGCCTAAGCAGCCCAAGCAATTTGTGCCGCTCAAACTGGGCGCCTTTATTTATACGGCAAAGCAACACTACATATGTGTACTTCACAACATTCCATTGATAAGTTGACATGTTATAGACAGTAAGAAGCAGGTAACAAAGCTTTAAGACCTACTGGGCTAGGTGTATCTCTTGGCTACCTCCATATCAAAGGGAAATCTTTTTTTTTTTTCAAAGGGAAATCTAAGAGAAGCCTAGCTGTAGGTGTGGGCAGGATACTTTCTTGGAAACATCAAAGGGATGTTGATAAGGCTAAAGAATCCTACAGAGGCAGAGCATGGGTTGGACTTTACTAGTTGGGGTCAGGATGTTTCCTGAATTCCATCAGATGTATCTGTTGGAAGGCCCCTAGAAAAGTCCACCCTTTGCTCTGCTTACAGTAAGGGTCAAGGAAAGGACAAGCTGCAAGGTCCTGTCATAACTAAAAGGGACAGGTGATGTTTGCTTAGAGCATGTTCCCACATTCTCAGGGCCTCTCTCTGAACATGTCCCTACAGCCAGAGAGAGGGAAAGTGAGAAAGCAGGCCAGCTGGTCTGGGACTTGAATTGCTGTCAGCCATATGGGGAGTCCAGTGTCCTTGACTACCATGCCACCTGCTGGCCAGGAGGACCCATATTAATATATATAATGTGGGCAAGCCTTTAGTTTTCGAGGGCCTTTGCAAGTATGTGAGAGAATGTACATTGGAAGAAAACTACCTATGTAAGTAGTGTGGAAAGCCTTCACTTTCCAGTACATGAAATAGCACATACCGGTGAGAAACCTTGAGGATTGTAAAAAAGTTTCACTACTGCATAAACTTTCTATCATACACAATATATACTGAAGAGGTATTATTACTATAAAGTGTGTAAAAATTATTAATAAAAATTACAGAGACCGAGGCCAGTAAGCGGCACAGTACATCACCATTTGATGCACCTACATGCATCACCATGGTTTGAGTCCCAGACTCGGCACCTTGGTAATTATGAGGAGACGTGTGTATATCCTCAAAATCCTGACAAGGAAATGAAGGAGAAGGTAATGTAGTCAGCTATCGCTTTATGGGTGACTTCTCACTTTCCCTCCCTGTCTCATTCTGAGAAGCACACGGGTCTTATGGCAAAAATCTAAAGGAAAAAACAAAGCCTAGTCTAGGCTACTGGTTATTGAAGCTGGATCCTATATGACTGAGTGTCATTTTTTAAATTCCATTTGTTATTATAATTTAATTTGACCAGAGAGAATGGGAAAGAGATCCTCAAGCGCCTGGGTCTAAGACCTGAACCAGGGTCAGTCATGGAGAGTCCAGCATCTTGAATCACCATGCCACCTGCTGGCCCCTTGCTGAGTACCATTTAGATCCAAGGTGGGGGACCAGCAGTTGGTGCAATGGCTATGTTGCTGGACTCCCATGTAATCGACTGCGGTTCAAGTCCCGGACCCATCATGTTTCTCAGGCAGCCAGTTCCAGGACTTGTATCACACAGTTGGCTATGTGAGTTCCATCCACCTTTACACTATCACTAGCAGACCCAGGAGCTGTTTTCTCTCTATGGCTTTCTTTGGTAAGTGTATAAGCCTTCTGGCGAACAAAATGTGGAAAGGCTTTTATTATCACATAGACTTGACCACAATGGAAATCACCTATTGCAGAGACCTACTATTAATGTAAAGAGCTGATGGGACCAGCAATTAGTGTAATGGCTATGACTATGTCGCTGGACTCCCATGTAGTTGACCGTGGTTCGAGTCCCGGACCCGGTGGCTTAAACTCACGCCGGGCGTTGTGCATGCATGCTCAGGATCCCGAGAGGAGAATGGAGGAGAAGGGATTGCAGCATGGCCATCCCCCTTGCGGGATGATTTCTCGCTTTCTGTCTCTGTCTCCTCTGTCTTTCTGGCGAGCACATGCACCCTATAGCAAAAACCTCTCACAAAACAAAAGGGGGGCTGAGATTTAGCTACCTTAACCTGCATACTGCCTGCTGGCCCTGCACTTTTTTTTTTTTTGGCACAGAATTTATTCCATTTTCTTTCTAGTAGAAAGATGCCATCCATGGGGCCGGCAGGTGGCATGGCAGTTGAGACACTGGTCTCCCACATGACCGACCATGGTTCAAGTCCTGAACCTGGTGTTTTGCTGTCTGTCTCTCTCTCTGGCTAAAATTGAAGAATAATGGTAATAGGACCAGCAATTAGCATAATGGCTATGTTGTTGGACTCCCACATAGTCAACTGAGTTTCATGTCCCAGACTCAGTGGCTTAAACTCACACTAGGCACGTGTGCGAGTGTGCCCAAGATCCTGAGAGGAGAAAGGAGGAGCAAGGATTGCGGCATGGTCATCCCCCCTGGGGGTGATTTCTTGCTTTCTGTCTCTGTCTCTCTCTTCCTGGCGAGTGCACGCACCCTATACCCCCCCCAAAAAAAAACTCTTCAAAAAAAAGAATAATGATAAATAAAACTAAAAATAAATCTTTAAATATAAAAGAAAGATGCCATCCATGTATAAGTTTGTAAAATTTGTCATACCGTCTCATGAAATTTTTATTTTTTTAATTATTTTTAAAGAATTATTTATTCATTTATTTAATTTTAATTTGATCAGAGAGGGACAGAGAGAGAAAGTGAGAAAGCAAGCCATTTGGTCAGAGCCTCAAACTGTGGTCATCCATGTGAGATGTCCAGCGCCCTTAACCACCACACTTACCTGGCCCCTCATGAAATATTTTTGTATCTCACATCTTTGTTTCTATTTTTATGTCTATTTTACTTTGGTAATTGAGTTTGAATCAAGACAAGATATCTGTGATTGAATAATAAAATCTAGAATTTTTATTGGAATTAAGGATTACGCTATATCGGTGTTGGTGAGGAGATATGGAAGTTAGAACTGAAGGTGACAGTGATCCTGGATTTTGAGGTCAATTGCTAGAAAACATGTGGACAGTTGTTCGTACCCCAGTTTCTTTATACTTGAGTCTGACAATGAAGGGTGCCTTCAAAATCGCCGCTGATTATTAGAGTGGGAATTTTTATTGGAATTAAGGATTACGCTATATCGGTGTTGGTGAGGAGATATGGAAGTTAGAACTGAAGGTGACAGTGATCCTGGATTTTGAGGTCAATTGCTAGAAAACATGTGGACAGTTGTTCGTACCCCAGTTTCTTTATACTTGAGTCTGACAATGAAGGGTGCCTTCAAAATCGCCGCTGATTATTAGAGTGGTTTTTTTTTTTTTAAGTTTTTTTCCTTAGGTCCTATGCCTTTGCCAGAGAGACAGACTGTGGGGGGGGAAGAGCACTGGGGACCTGGCTGGGCCACACTTCCTTTTCCTGTATGCAACTCCATCGTTACTGGTGAGGTGTTTCAAGCTGCCAGGTCTGGATTTGGAACTGCAGTCAGCCATGTCAGAGTCCTGCACTGTAACCACCATGCTGCCTGATGGCCTCGAGTTCTGATTTTAAGTTTTAGCTTACTCCAGATTTCTATAAACTATTCACATCAAGGTTTCATCTGCAGTTTGGATTTTATTGGAAGTCTCTTTTTATTATTTTTTTTGAGAGGTTTTTACTATAGGTACATGCACTTGCCAGAAAGACAGAGAGAGAGAGACAGAAAGAGAGAAATCACTCCCCAGGGGGGATGGCCATGCTGTAATCCCTTCTCCATTCTCCTCTCGGGATCTTGGGCACACACGCACATGCGCCTGGCATGAGTTTAAGCCACTGGGTCCGGGACTTAAACCGAAGTCAACTACATGGGAGTCCAGCGACATAGCCATAACGCTAACTGCTGGTCCCGCAACACTGAGCTTCTGATGTGGCAAATCCTCCTGGAGTAACAGTCAGCACCAAGTCTGGGATAATATTTGTCCTCACATGGAGGGACACATATTAAGGAGAAGGGATTGCTGCGTGGCCATCCCTCTTGGGGGATGATTTCTCGCTTTCTGTCTCTGTCTCTTTCTGGTAAGTGCATGCATCCTATAGCAAAAACCCCTGCAAAAAAAAAAAAAAGAAAGAAAGAGAAGGAATTGCAGCATGACCATTCCCCCTGTGGGATGTTTTCTCACTTTTCTCCCTCCCCACTTCACAGAATCCCTCAGGTAAGCACATACACACTCTATAGCAAAAACTGAAAAACATAGTCTTTAACAACCAACGCATGTAGGAACCAAGGGGCCAATGGTCCATAGAGCAACATGCCCAAGGTTGTTTTTCTTTTCCTTTTTCTTTTTGAAGAGGTTTTTGCTATAGGGTACATGTGCTTGCCAGTGAGACAGAGAGATAGAAAGTGAGAAATCACCCCCCAGGAGGGATGGCCACAGCACAATCTCTTCTCCTCCGTTCTCCTTTAGAGATCTTGGGCACTCACACACATGTGCCCAGAGTGAGTTTAAACCACTGGATCCAGGACTCGAACTGCGGTCAACCATGTGGGAGTCCAGCGACATAGCCAACTGCTAGTCACGGAAGTCTTTTTAAAGAATTATTTAATTTTATTTATTCATTCATTTTATTTTAATTTGATCAGAGAGAGACAGAGAAAGAGAAAGTGAGAAAGCAAGCCGCCAGGTCCAGGGCTTGAACCGTGGTCAGCCTTATGGGAGTGTCCAGTGCTTTAACTACCATGCCACCTGCTGGTCCCCAGAAGTCTTTATTCCTTTATTAATTTTAAATTGGTGGGGGTTTTCTTTGAATTATTTTATTTAACTTTATTTATTTATTTATTTTAATTTGACCAGAGAGGGACAGAGTGAGGAGAGAGAGAGAGAAAGCAAGTCTCCAGGTCTGGAATTCAAACTGCAGTTGGCCATGTGGGAGTCCAGCGCCCTTAACTTCCACACCACCTGCCGGCCCCTGGAAGTCTTAATTTGTGTACCTGGCCACCAATTCAGACTGTCATGGTTTGGAATATTCCATGGCTTCCTTAGTCTTGGAATGAATTGACATGATACGTAATTTGTATAGGAAAAACCTTATTCATAGTGGTAATGACCATGTTCTTAATTTAGCATGACCGCTACACTGGTACCTTTAATAAAAAAAAGTGATGGGATCAGCCCGTGGCATGGTGGTTAAAATGCTGAATGCTCCCTCATGGCCAACCACAGTTCAAATCCGGACCTTGTGGCTTACTTTCTCTCTCTCTTCCTGTCTCTCTCTCATCAAATTATAATAAATGAATGAATACCTAAACTTTTATAAATCTTTTTTTTTTTTCTTTTGGAGAGGTTTTTGCTATAGGGCAAGTGCGCTCTCCAGAAAGACAGAGAGAGACAGACAGCGAGAAATCACCCCCGGGGGGATGGCCACGCTGAAATCACTTCTCCTCCATTCTGCTCTAGGGATCTTGGGCATGCGCGCGTCCGGCATGAATTTAAGCCACCGGGTCCGGAGCTCAAACTGCGGTGAACTACATGGGAGTCCAGCAACACAGCCATTAAGCCAACTGCTGGCCCCTGGGCCTTCTAATATAGGTTGTACCTAAAAATGAGTAGACTGTCCATAAAGTGTGAGAAGAACTTGGCCCTGCAGGTGTTATCCTTATATCAGAATTCATGAGTCCTGGAAATCATTATCAAAATTCCTAACTCTTGGGACCAGCAGTTGGCATAATGGAATACAGGTGGTGCGTAAAAATGAGTAGACTGTCCATAAAGTGTGAGAAGAACTTGGCCCTGCAGGTGTTATCCTTATATCAGAATTCATGAGTCCTGGAAATCATTATCAAAATTCATAACTCTTGGGACCAGCAGTTGGCATAATGGCTATGTCGTCGTACTGCCATGTAGTAGACTGTGGTTCAAGTCCCAGACCCGGTGGCTAAAACTCACGCCAGGCGCGTGTGCATGCCCAAGATCCCAAGAGGGAAATAGAGGAGAGGGGATTGCAGCGTGGCCATCCCCCCTGGGGGGTGATTTCTCGCTTTGTCTCTCTTTTTTGGCGAGCGCACGCGCCATATAGCAAAAATCTCTTTAAAAAAAAATTCATGACCCTCGGAAATCATGTGTTCCCTCATCCTGCTCCAATGCAG